CATTAGAATTCTGCTAATACCTACTGCACTAGGAAGTGAGATAGAATGAATATGTTTTCAGGAGCTTGCAGTTAATGAGAGGACAAAACTGACAGATACTAGAGATGAATACCACCCTAATGAAATAAGTAAAAGGATGTATTTGCTAGTTTGTAAACTCAACTTCAAATGGTTGGATCTCTGCTGCCTGGACCTTCCTCTGACCCTCTTGTTGAAACTGTAGGGTGTGTGTGCGTGTGTACGCGCTGGGCTGTGTCCGACTCTTTACAGTCTTTCTCAGAGTAGNATGAAATAAGTAAAAGGATGTATTTGCTAGTTTGTAAACTCAACTTCAAATGGTTGGATCTCTGCTGCCTGGACCTTCCTCTGACCCTCTTGTTGAAACTGTAGGGTGTGTGTGCGTGTGTACGCGCTGGGCTGTGTCCGACTCTTTACAGTCTTTCTCAGAGTAGCCTGCCAGGCTCCTCTACCCATGGGATTCTCCAGGCAAGAATACTGGAGTAGGTTATCATTTGCAACTCCGGGGGATCTTCCTGACCCAGGGATGGAACCTGTGTCTCTTGCGTCTCCTGCATTGGCAGGTAGATTCTTTACTGCTGTGCCCTCTGGGAAGCCCAGGGTTCTCTGTACCTCCATCAAGGTTAACACCAAACTCTACTGCATTCTTCCAGATCCATCATGTTGAGCCTGCCTTAGTTTCCCCATTTTTGGAACTCCTAGACCATTTCACAGACAAACAGAGGCTTGTGATTAAAGACCAAGGAAGCAGGTAAAACTGTTTGCCAATAATCAGATGAAACTCATGATTAGGAGAAAAGGATTGAGGGGTCTGAGTGTGAAAAGTCTGCTATTTCAGAAATGAAACCAAAGTAACAATCATTGTGAGAACTCAGGACCGTGTCAGACATATTTATTACTGGGCTTAATGTTGCTTTTATTTTCAATACTTGAGGGAGGTGAGCGTGTGTGTGTACGTGTATGCTCAGTTGTGTGTGGCTCTTTGTGATCCCACTGGCATTTTCCCAGCAAGAATACTGGGGTGGGTTGCCATTCCCTCCTCTAAGGGGTCTTCCTGACAGAGGGATCGAACCTGTGTCTCTTGCATTGACAGGTGAATTCTTTACCACTGAGCCACCAGGGCCCTCATCAATTTCATTGCTTGGGACTTGTAAATATCTTTGTCCCCAGGCTCACCTGGCTTTATTGTATCTCAACAAGGCTAAAAGAAACCCACATGAAGGGATTCATTTCCTAGGTCTGGGCTCCTGCCTTGAAACTTGCATGGTTGCCAGGCACTCTGGGGCTGGGCTCTTCCTCCCTCCTTTTTTTTTTCAAGTATTTATTTATTCATTTTGCTGTCTGCATTGGGTCTCAGTTGGGCATGGGGGATCTTCCTTGTTTTGCTCAGACTTTCTAGCTGTGGCACAGGGGCTCAGTAATGGTGGTACACAGCCTTAGTTGCCTGACGGCATGTGGGATCTTAGTTACCCAATCGCGGATGGAACCTGTGTCCCCTGCATTGCAAGGCAGATCCTTAACCACTGGGCAGTCCCCTGTTCCTCCCTCTTGCCAGTGCTGAGCTTTCTCTTCAAGGCCAGCATGGAGTTAAGGTGTGGAATCTGCTGTATTGTGATCTCTGCGGGTTGCCTGGCTCCTGATCTTCCTGGGTCTCTCTCCAGCCATTCTGCTTTCTCTTCTGCATTTCCCTGGGGTCAGCTGACAACTAACCCTTCTCTCTGCAGTGCTAATACTGACCACATATACGAAGAGCACAGAGAAGGGGCTAATTCCAGGTCTCTTCCCTGATCTACGTGTCTAGCCACATCACCAGCATCAACATTTTCCCTTGATCCAGAGTTAAAGACCACTGTTTGTACCCTCCTTGAGCTATTCTGGGAGAAAACTAGGCCCCATTGGAGACCGCCTAACAGTTACTTTCACCAAGGGGCTGCATATCCAGCTTTAAAGTCAAGCTACTCACTGTTGTTGTTCTTTGTTGTTCAGTCGATAAGTGGTGTCCAACTCTTTGCAACCCTATGGACTGCAGAATGCCAGGCTCCTCTGTCTCTCATATGTTATCTTGCTTAATCTTCACAACAATTCAATAAAATGGGTATCATATATATAGCCCCATCTATATAAAGGAACTTGTTGAAGCACAGAGGGATTAAAGAATCTGCCAATGGTCACACAGCCAGAGAGTAACAGCCAGGATTCAGAGCTAGATCTTTCCTGCCAAAACCCAGGTGTGTCACTTGGTGTTGCTAATATGCAGACTATCTTAACAAAATATATCCACAATTTGTTAATGTTCTATTAGCATATATTTAACAAGTAAAAGTGGATACCTGTTTCAGTTCAGTTCAGTCGCTCAGTCATGTCCGATGCTTTGTGACCCCATGAATCGCAGCACGCCAGGCCTCCCTGTCCATCACCAACTCCCAGAGTTTACTCAAACTCACATCCATCGAGTCAGTGATGCCATCCAGCCATCTTATCTTCTGTTGTCCCCTTTTCCTCCTGCCCCCAATCCCTCCCAGGATCAGGGTCTTTTCCAATGAGTCAACTCTTCACATGAGGTGGCCAAAGTACTGGAGTTTCAGCTTCAGCATCAGTCCTTCCAATGAACACCCAGGACTGATCTCCTTTAGGATGGATTGGTTGGATCTCCTTGCAGTCCAAGGGACTCTCAAGAGTCTTCTCCAACACCACAGTTCAAAAGCATCAATTTTTCAGCTCTCAGCTTTCTTCACAGTCCAACTTTCACATCCATACATGACCACTGGAAAAACCATAGCATACCTGTTTAGGTTACTTTAAAAATCAAATATTTAAGATACATCTCTATTGAGAGATTCTGTGAATTTTTTTTTTTTTTTTATGGGAAAGATGGTGGGACTTTGAGGTGGTCATCAAAGCAAAGAAAGATATAAAACAAATTAGAAAGATTTTGCTACATCCAGATACTGAAGTAAGTGTTATCCTTTAATTGTTTTTGCCTCCGAGTGACCAAAGCTGGCAGAAGACAAGAGCTGATGGGGGAGGGGGAGGGGGCATAAGAGGGGCATATATGACTCCATATGGCTGTCTGCCATTGGTTTCATAGTCAGAAACCAGCAGTGCATGCTAAGTTGCTTGTCACCTCTGACTCTTTGCAACTCTATGGACTATAGCCCAGCAGGCTCCTCTGTCCATGGGATTCTTCAGGCAAGAATACTAGAGTGGGCTGCCATTCCCTTCTTCAGGAGATCTTCCCGACCCAAGGATCGAACCCACATCTCTTATATCTTTACCACTAGCCCATAACAGGCAGAGGAGGTCCCCAAAAGAAAAAGACCTAAATTCCCGATGCTTTACTGGGGGCTGTGTAAACAATTCTCATAGAAGGAAGGCAGCACTAACTCGCCCCGGATATTACACTGTTGTCTTTACATGAAGCCCGCCCTTCTGGACTCACCTTTGTTATGTGGAATGGGGGAGTCCCCAAACCATGTTAGTGCTTTATCAGCGCCCCCTGTTACACTCTGCCAATAGGGGGCGCTGGAGCGAGGCTGGAGGCGGAACCTCCTGTTCTCTTTCTCTGTACGCTGCTAACGTGTGCATCACCATGGCAACGCCCTTCCACCTCGCTGTGGCCATTCCTTCCTGCGCCTACACTGAATCCAGTTAACAGTAACGGAGGACAGACACCAGGCTCTTCAGGAGAGGTCTGGATCTCAGCCTAAGAGGATCTCCTCTGAGCTCAGTGACCCAGGTACCATCTGCTTAGGGTTCCCCTCTCAGAGGTCTGAGTTGCTGCTTGTTGGCACCCCTCTTCCAAGATTCTCAAGTAAACAATTCCCAAGTATCTCCCTCCTTCCGGCCTACTTTCAGCAATTTCTACTTCCCTAATAATTTAGCATCGTCTATCCCTCCCCCGACTTTCCCTTACTTGATACCTAGTTAAATTCTTTCCATGAAATTATTAATATTACATTTGCTATTTCAAACATTTGGCGAGGAATGCTGCATTCTGGCCTGGAGAATCGCAGGGATGGCGGAGCCTGGTGGGCTGCCGCCTATGGGGTCGCACAGAGTCGGACACGACTGAAGCGACTTAGCAGCAGTAGCAGCAGCATTTTTGGAGGAGTGATTTGAGGGTGAGAGAGAGAGAGACAAAGTGGCAAGCAATGTGAGCAGTTTTTTGTTTTTTCTTGGGTGTGGCATATGAGGATCTTAGTTCCCTGCCTAGGAATTGAACCTGTGTCCTCTGCTTTGGGAGGTCATAGTGTTAACCACTGGACTATCCGGGAAGAACCTGTCAGCAAAGTCCCTGCCAGCAGTTTTGAAGGAGGCATTTTTCACACTGTATTGCCAAAACCATCTATGGGACTCTCTTGGTGGTATCCTTTGTTCAGACTGCCAAGAACCCTAGCGTCCCAGACATTAGTGAGGGAGATCTACAGTTTGGAACCTCAAGGATATTTCTACAGCCTAAAGATTATTAACAGTCATGGAAAGGCAAGTGGATTTTTTGTTTTGTATTGTTTTTTTTTGAGCAGTTGCCATGAAAAAAGAAACTCTGGTTTTTACTTACTTTTTCCCCTTCAATAAAACAACAAAAGAAACAACTCTGAAGGTCATTTTTATTGCTTCAGTCTTCAGTGAAATTCGGGGAGTCTTCAGGGAACATAAGAGAAGTGACATCTGATCTCCAAAAGAAGGCAAGGTCATACCTGTATGTTTTTATGGCTCCTTGTTAAGAGGGAAAAAAGCTTTCAGGTTCTTGCATGAGTATTGACAGGTTGTTATGAATGATTTTGCAGCAGGAGAGCATGGCTACAAACTAGGCTGTTCTGGATCAAATAGCCGCTTGCCTTCTCAGACATTGCCAGCATTTTTTTCTGCTTGCTCACCTCCCTCGGTGACTTGTTCTCGCAAATACAATCCTGAATGATATATCTGAGCTTGTTCTCTTATCTGAGAGCAGGAAGCTGGGTGAGTGACGGAGGCANTAAGTATGTGATATTTGGGAAGTTATTTAGCTTCTGTTTTCCTCTCTATAAAAGAGGCCTAATAATACTGTGTTTTAAACATGTTGTGAAGATCCAACAGGACAACGTAAAGAAATATTTCTGACTCATAGAAAGCACTCATTAAATACTGACATGCATAGCTCTGTGTGTCTGTGTGTGTGGATGGTGGTGGTTTAGTCGCAAAGTCGTGTCTGACTCTTGTGACCCCATGGACTGTAGCCCGCCAGGCTCCTCTGTCCATGGAGCTCTCCAGGCAAGAATACTGGAGTGGGTTGCCATTTCCTTCTCCATGTGTGTAGATATATTTTATTTATTTATTTTTGGCCTCACTGTGCAGCATGTGGGAAATTAGTTCTACAACCAGGGATTGAACCTGCACCCACTGCCTTTGAAGCGTAAAGTCTTAATTACTGGGCCACCAGGAAAGTCCCTGGATAGATTTTAAATCTGAGTAGACTGAGAGTTATCTATATGAATGACTACAATGTATTTTTGAAATTATGTTCAATTTTTTGTACTTGTTTAAGAACATTTTCTTTAAAGCATGGCTAGATGCCATATCTAACCAGTGAATTATGTGTGGTGAAAGCATTTAAAATATGAACTGTCAAATAAGACCAAGAAGTGAACTTTATCTTTAAAAGCACTTTGGAGTTCTAGAACTGAAGGTGAGAGTGTGAACTTCCTGTCTTTTCTGTCTAGACCTATCACAAATTCTGTCCTCCAGATAAAAGCTACTTTAGACACAGGGTGGTAAGGTGTGGGCAGAAGTCCTCTCTTCCTTGGAATAAAAGGTGGGGACTTCCTCTTACTCATTACTCCTTCACAGCAGCAGGGCTGTTTCCTTTTCTCTCTCCCGGGTGGAGGTGGATCCGGGTCCTAACTCCAGGCCCAGTCTGATCATCTGGTTTGCAGCGTCAGGTTACAGATCTCCATCCACAAGGGTCCCAGGCAGGACTTGACTGAGGATATTTGTTTAGAGAAGAAATCTATCTTTGCCATCACTCTGGAGTTGGAACTTGATGTTCCTTGAGGATGTTCTGGATTAGTTTGTAACTAAAGGCATTTTGTTCTGTCCAAGGATCTCCTCCTCTGCCTTCCCTGTGCCCAAACTCTACCGATCTCTCATCGCATGAAGATGACTGGGTGGAAGAAGAAGCTCTGCCGGGGGCATCATCTGTGGGCCCTGGGCTGCTATATGCTGCTGGCCGTTGTTGCTCTGAGGCTTTCTCTCAGGTTGAAATGTGATGTAGATTCCTTGGATCTGGAGTCCAGGGGCTTCCAAAGTCAGCGTTGTAGAGACGTCTTATACAAGAACCTGAAGCTGCCAGCGAAGAGCTCCATCAACTGTTCTGGGATCACACGAGGGGACCAGGAAGCGGTGAGCCAGGCTCTCCTGGACAACCTGGAAGTCAGCAAGAAGCGGTTGCCTTTCACTGACACCGACTACCTCAACATGACCAGAGACTGTGAGCGGTTTAAGGCCCGAAGGAAGTTCATACAGTTCCCACTGAGCAAAGAAGAGTTAGACTTCCCCATTGCATACTCGATGGTGGTCCACGAGAAGATTGAAAACTTTGAACGGCTGCTGCGAGCTGTGTATGCCCCTCAGAACATATACTGTGTCCATGTGGATGAGAAGTCCCCAGAAACTTTCAAAGAGGCAGTCAAGGCCATTATTTCCTGCTTCCCCAATGTCTTCATGGCCAGTAAGTTGGTTCCGGTGGTTTATGCCTCCTGGTCCAGAGTGCAGGCTGACCTGAACTGTATGGAAGACTTGCTCCAGAGCTTGGTGCCATGGAAATACTTACTGAATACATGTGGGACAGACTTCCCCATAAAGACCAACGCCGAGATGGTCCTGGCCCTCAAGATGTTGAATGGAAAGAACAGTATGGAGTCTGAGATACCTTCTGAGTACAAAAAAACTCGCTGGAAATACCGCTACAAGGTGACAGACAGACTGTACCTGACCAGCAAGATGAAGGACCCTCCCCCTGATAATTTACCTATGTTCACAGGGAATGCCTATTTTGTGGCTTCTCGAGCCTTTGTCCAACATGTCTTAGAGAACCCCAAATCCCAAAGACTGATTGAATGGGCCAAAGACACCTATAGCCCTGATGAACACCTCTGGGCCACCCTTCAGCGTGCACCATGGATGCCTGGCTCTGTCCCCTACCACCCCAAGTATCACATCTCAGACATGACTGCCATCGCCAGGCTGGTCAAGTGGCAGGACCATGAGGGAGATGTCAGCATGGGAGCCCCTTATGCACCTTGCTCTGGAATCCATCAGCGGGCCATTTGCATTTATGGGGCTGGGGACCTGCACTGGATTCTCCAGAACCATCACCTCTTGGCAAACAAGTTTGACCCAAGGGTGGATGATAACGTCCTGCAGTGCTTAGAAGAGTATTTACGTCATAAGGCCATTTATGGGACTGAACTTTGAGCTGTACTGCGGACGGATTGCTACCTGAGGGCCAGGGACATGTGCCAACATGCCTAGGGCATGCTGGTACTGTGTGGGGTGGGGGACGAGGGCTGTGGAATTCGTGGCATCCCCCAGGGTCAGAGGCCTGCTCCTGGAGTGTGGAGAGTAGATATGCTGACTTGCAGACTGCTGCCCTGGGTGGACACTGACTGGTAGCTCAGCCCACTTCCAGTAGCTCCTTCATTCACTTTCTCACTGAGTTCATAACAAGAACCAGTTGTCTGGGTAAGTGTGGGAGGACACCTGGATTTCAGTTGAATTGGTATCAACTTTTCCACTCTCTGGAGGTGCCCATTCCTAATAATTCTAGGCTTGGTAGTGGGGAGGGGACTTTGATGGACAGAAGGCCTCCTGTTTTGTACTATTAACTTAATAAATAGCTTCTGATTAAAATCTCTACCTCTTTTTTTTTTTGTCTAGCAAGCCAGAAATAAGATAAAGCCGTGAGACTTTTTCTCCTAACTCTTGGTGACATTTGAAATCCCCGGTGGCCAGCAAGAGAATCACCATTATTCCTTAGTGATCATGGCAGGCTGTATAAATGGCTGATGCACAAGAATGTAAAGCCCCCCTTGTTTTGTTAATGTTGCCAGAAAAAAAGCCAGGGTGATTTAACCAATGTGACCATCCANTTGCCATTCCCTTCTCCAGAGGATCTTCCCGACCCAGAGATTGAAACTGGTCTCCTGCGTCACAGGCAGATTCTTTACTGTTTGAGCTACAGAGAGATCTCAGGTTATCAGAAGGCAATTAGCTGCAAGTTACATTCTTCTGTGATGGGGAAGTGATCCTTTGTAAACAGATAAGCATATCTTGTATATGGTAGAACTGGTTTTCTGCATACAGTACATTCTGGAAAAGTGATTTACACACCAGTTTGTATAATTTGGGGCTTCCCTGATGGCTCAGTTGGTAAAGATTCCACCTGCAATGAGGGAGACCCTGGTTAGATCCCTAGGTCAGGAAGATCCACTGGAGAAGGGATAGGCTACCCACTCCAGTATCTTGGGCTTCCCTTGTGGCTCAGCTGGTAAAGAATCTGTCTGCAATCTTGGAGACCTGGGTTCCATCCCTGGGTTGGGAAGATCTCCTGGAGAAGGGAAAGGCTACCCACTCCAGTATTCTGGCCTAGAGAATTCCGTGGATTGTATAGTCCATGGGGTCGCAGAGTTGGAACACAACTGAGCAACTCACTCACTCACTCACTTGTATAATTTGAATGACGTTCCCATTAATATGTCATGCTCCAATGTGCCTGTGTTTCTTCACTTCTGATTTTGATTCAGTTCCTCGAGTGTTCTCTCACAATCAACTTTCCCAGCATTCCATGTGCTCTGACACCGCTATGACTGTGTCTGGCACAGTGGCTTTCCTGAGTTAGTGACTGCTTCTGTAAGGCTGTGGTCCTTTGATAATGGGCACTGCCACCACCAGCTTACCTGCAGTGTTGCAGGGTCCTCGTTGCCTTGCCCTCATCATGGAGATGACTAACGAGTAGTCAGTTGCTCCGCAGTGAGCCCTGTAAGGCCTGTCCTTAGCAGCAGTGACTATAGACCTCTCCACCTATTAGCCTTTTGAGTGTCCTTGGTCCCCCTCTGAGGGGGCTGCAAGGGGGCAGAAAAGTTCCCAAGTACACGTGTCCTGAAAAAAGAACTTGGGTCTTTGGCTTCATAGTCAACTTCCTCTTTAAATTTTCATGTGGAAAAAAAAAATATGTCTTTATATAAATACATTGAAAAGATTAAAATGTGAACTTATCATTTTGGGGGGACAAGTTGCTGGAATTGTCCAAGCATTGACATTTCCTCTAGAAACACACATTCAGGTGAACAGGAAGTGCTGTTTATTTAATAACAAACACAAGGTCTTCATATCAGAAGGGTCAAATTTCGCCCTCCTTGGGTTAGTGTATTTTAGAAATTGTACAATTAAACCAACCCATCTGTTGATTTTTCCTCCTCTCATATCTGTCCCTATACCTTATCTCTGGAAAGGAAACATCCTATTAATGAATTGAGCAACTGTGTTTGTATTCCTTTAGAAAGCTTGAATTTCCTCTTTTGATTTGTGGACTGTTGATAAGCATTGCTTTAATAACTATATTTTTGCTGCACACTCTGCCCATTGTAATATGCCCTCTTTTCTTGATTTTGTGAAAATTTAAGAAAGGAAGAAAAGGCAGTTAATTTTGTTTGGAAACAGATGATATAATTTGTTTGGGGAGAACAAGTATTTGAATTTAAAATGGATAGAATAATTAAATACACGGCCTGACTTAAGTACTTTAGCTGAACTGAATTTATCTACTATGACTTCTTTCCCTTAGTTGGTCAGTCATTACAGAGATATAGTTCCCATCTCTATGATGCTTGAGTATATGACAAGCAATAGCATAGCTCATTCATTCCACAAATGTTAATTAAGCTCTTACTATTTACTAGGCATTGTTCTTGACACCAGGGGTAGTATAGTCAGTAATACAGAGATTCCCATGCTAATGTTGTTCACATACTAGTGGGAAAACAACTATAAACAGTTAATATATATGTATATTAGAAGGAGACAAGTGCTAGAGAGAAATTGAAGGCTTGAATGAGACCTTCCAGTGGGGAGGAAAATTTTAAATAGTGTGATCAGGTCCGGGAGGTGACATTTTAATGAAAAATGTAACATTTGAGTAAACATCCGAAGGAGATGAAGGAATGACCCGTGAGGATAAATGGAGAAAGAACATTCTAGGCCAAGAGGAAAGACTTGCATAGCCCTGAAGCAGGATCATACCTGTCATGTTTAAGGAGCAACAAGGAAACTGGTGTAAACGGAGCAGAGCAAAGGGAGGGGTGAAAGAGTGACGAATACAGGGGAAGAGGATGTATCCTGACGGCCTCTGTGACCCGTAAGGCGGACTTTGTCTTCTCTGAGAGAGATTATAGGCCACTGGAAGGTTTCGAGCAGAGGGCTGACATGATCTGACTGACACTGGAATGCGGCATTGGGGATGGATTGGCTGTTTGGGGGGCGGGGGTGGGAGCCGGGAGGCTAGTGGAGAGGCCAGCGTGCTGATGCCAGCCCTCGTAGCCCTGGCGGAGACCCGGGGAGCAGCAAGAGAAAGGGTCAGAGTGGTCAGATCCTGGGAGTGTTCTGAAGGTTCAGTGTGAGTTTGCTGACGGATGGAGTTTGTTCATGAGCAATGGAGGGGTTGAGGATGACTCCAGGGGTTTTGTTTGGGTGTTAGGTGTAGGAGGACAGGGCTACCATGAACCAAGACAGGCACACGGTGAAAGAGTGGCTGTTGAGGGGAAGACCATGGGTTTGCCTTTGAAGATTTAAAACTGAAGATGCCTATTAGACACCTGAGGACAGATGCTGAGGGGATGACTGGGACAGGAGTCCGGGTTCAGGAGAGAGGTCTGGACTGGAGACACTTAACCTGGTGTTCCTCAGCTTGTGTACCATATAAAGCCACGAAATGGGATGAGCGCGCCCAAGGAGTGAACAGAAGTAGAAAAGAGCCTCCCGGATGAGTCCTGAGGGCCTTCCAAAGTGCAGAGGTCACGAAGATAAGGAGGAACCAACAAAAGAAGAGTTGGAGGGGAGCAGCTGGTGTAGTAGAAGGAAAAGAGCTGGGTGTGGAGTGTTCTGGAAGTGCAAAGGAGAAAGTATCTCCAGAACGAGGAAGTTGATGACTATGCCCCAAACTATGCAAATCACTTAAGATGAGAATGAAGGCAAGACTATTGGATTTAACAGTGTAGAGTTGGTCTTGATAAGATCAATTTTTTTGTGGCGTGTGGACGTGAGAATACGATTGGAGGTGGTTCAGAGAGAATGTTAAGAGCAAATCTGGCTTTGCGCCAGTATAGATACATGTTTTGAGTCTTGCTATCAGGCAAGAGAGGAGAATAAAAGTTAAAGAATGGAAGGTTAAGAGCAGTTTGTCCTAAACATTAGAAAAGTGATAGCATGTTTGTCAGTTGATGAGAAGGATCTAGTCAAGAGGAAAAGATGCAGGAATGAGATGGGTTACCTGCCAGAGTGACATCCTAGTGAAGAAGAAGGGTCATTATATAGCACACAGGAGAAGGGGCCTGTCTCTGATGGAAGCATGAACGACAGTTCACCCACAGGAACAGGACTGAAGGCAGAGCAGATGGGCGTAGATGTACATGGATGGGCCAATGTGGTGGTCTGTAGAGTTTGTGGAGTTCTATCTTTCTCTTTCATTAACATTTTATTTTAGGTATAATATACATACAGAAAGGGGGCTTCCCGTGGCACAGTGGTAAAGAATTGGCCTGCCAAGGCAGGAGATGTGGGTTCTATCCCCGGGTGGGGAAGATTCCCCAGAGTAGGAAATGGCGACCCACTCCAGGATTTTGGCCTAGAAAATCCCATGGACAGAGGAGCCTGGTGGGCTGTAGTCCCTGGGACTGAGTCAGACACGACTGAGAAACTGAGTCTGTGCACGTACACACACACACACACAAAAAATCCCAGATATATAGCTTAAAATTTTTACAAAGTGAACAAATCTGTGTAACTAGAACCCTGGTCAAAAATCAGAACATTACCAGCAACGCAGAGGGTTCCTGTGTCCCTTTCCCATTACTACCTAGGCTGCAGCAAAGATAACTGGACATTGAAACTCAGCAGGACCTTGTAGGACCCTTCTGGGTACAAGCCCTTCTGTGTCTCCAGTTCTTGTTTGTAGGAAAAGCTTGCCTTCCCTAGGTATTCCTAAAATTTCAAAGAGCAGACTTGAATTAATGACTAGACAAAGTAAATGTGGAAAGAAAGAGCTTGAACATTGGCATCAGAGGATTTCTTGTTCCTCCTGAAGGGAGGTAGATAACAGTCTCATGCATATCTTTGAATTGTCCTGCAGAAACTAAGACTCACATCTGGTGGAGGATCACAAGATCATAGACCCCAGGCTGGTAGAACCAGATTAACAATTAACAGTCCTGAAACCTCACCCAACCTGATCACACATCCTGCAACCCTCACCTCTAAAGTTGCCTTTAAAAACCAAAACCCATTGGGAACTTCGGGTCTTTTGAGTATTTAGCTGCCCAGTCTCCTTGCTTTTGTTGTTTAGTTGCTCAGTCATGACTGACTCTTTTGTGACCCTATGGCCTACATGTTCATGGTTCCTCTGTCCATGGGATTTCCCAGGCAAGAATACTGGAGTGGGTTGCCATTTCCTTCGCCAAGGGATCTTTCTGGTCCGGGGATTGAACCTGGGTCTCCTGCACTGCAGGCAGATTCTTTACTGTCTGAGCCACCAGGAAGCCCACAAATAACAGCACTTTATCACCATGCTGTTAGTGGATTGGCTCTGCGGCATTCAGGTGAGCGGATCCAAGTTCACTGACACCACTACTCTGAGACCT